CTTGCCGATCTGCGTACTCTTGCCATGCGCGCACGCTCTCTTTCATGTCCCTGTTCTTTTGCATGACGTTCGCATTCTTCTTCTGGAGATACTTCACTTGTTGAGACATGTCCCGGTACTTCTTAGTCAAGTCGGTAAACCGGGCAGCAAGGTCGTGATACTCTTCTTCGGTAGCCTCGTTCGCAACCCCGTGATCTGGTAATGGTGCAGCGGCCTCTTGTAAAGCCGCGAGTCGTTGCTTCAACTCCTCATTCTCGGTAGCGAGGTGGCGATAGTCGTCGGACGCACTTGGTGCATCAAGTTCAGAGACATGCTGGTCGACTGGCCCCCTAATTTCGAGCTGTTCTTTCAGGTGCTCGTTCTCCTTGGCAAGACGCGCTGATTTCAGAATCTCGTCATTCAGATGTTGGAACAGTATTTGTTGGTTCTCCTCCTCTGCAGCAGGTCAGTATGTAACTCTGTGACTAAGACAAAACGCGTACTTTGATCTAGCTCCTTATGATGTTTCTCTTCTCCTGATTCATTCTTAGCAAAGGTCGACGCGTTAAATGACCATACGTACTCGTCTTCCATTCCTTCTCGAGGTCAGGCTTGATGACCTCATCGTATACGCGTGTCCAGAGCCCTTTGTTCTGCTCTACCCAGGCTGAAAACTCCGCCATATTGGACCGGTCCGACAAGGCATGAAAACGACAGGTGTGACAAGAGATGACTCGATGTTCGCGTGTGTCCTGAACAGGTTGCAGCATTAGGCGGCAACTACGAAAGATACGCGCTAGTGGAGCGCGCAGTCACGCGTACGCACAGACACTCTGCGATAGCGATAAGACATGGTGCCATTCCGACATCCCGAGGCGCATTCGCCGCCGACACGACAGCCATAGCCCGGTATTATGAAGCGCGCATACGATGGCGATGATGACGGCGAGCATCCAGCCAAAGTACAGCGGCTTTTACATCCCGACAAACTCTCTCGATTGAGCGAGGAGTTGCTTGTGCGCATACTGTCTTTCGTGCCCGTACCCTCGCTGCTAGTATGCCAAAGGTAGGTAACGTCATCTTCGCTACATGGCGACATTCGCTAACTGTTACAGGGTGTCGAAGAAGTTCAGTCGCCTTTCGGTCGATTCGGAATTATGGAAAGCCGCTTACTACCGCACATTCGTCCTCCCTCGAGCGTCGCGCATACCAGGCATCAGAGGCCCTGCCAACCCGAATCGGCTACACTACTCCTCGCGGCTATCGAAATGGCTAGAAGACGGCTACTTAGTCAAAGATGGGACACAGACGAACTGGAAGCAGCAATATCGGTTGCGGCATAACTGGACTCAGGGACAATGCGCCGTCAGTGAGATTGTGGTCGCTGAAAGGCCTCCAGACCCACCGCTGCTCGTCATGATGTCTAACAGCATCATCTATGCTGCCGACTCCATGTCGGGCTTGCGAGCATGGAAGTCGAAGAATGATAGGGAGCTACTGGCATCCACGGAACTATCTGGTGAAACAGATATGGCTCGGTTACCGATATCCATGGCCATAGATGCCTCGAATACGGACGATGGCACGGAGCGAGTTGTCATAGGCTTCGAAGACGGCTCCTTCTCCATTTACGCACTTAGGACGAATCGCAAGAAGTTCACGAATGTCTTCACCCATCCGCCGTCAACAAACGGAATGCTGTCGGCCCTCGCATACTCGTCGCCTTATCTCCTTACGATGACCGAAGACCACCTCCTCTCATTATACGCTTTTGAAGAGGTGCCTGGCACGTTCGGGCTATTAGAGGCACCGAAGCTGCTATACTCCCTACGATCGAACACCGCATGGCCACCTGTCTCGTTATCGCTGCGCACAACAGCACATACCATGACCGCCGCGATCGCATACTCTTTGCCGACGTACTTGTCCGGCTGGACTGTTGGTGTGCAGGAGCTCATACTGTCACACAAAGGCGACCTAATCGAGTCACGGCTGGCTACTGCGGCGGACGAACACTCATTTACACTCTCTACATACCGCGCGGCCTCTTCATCAGCACGCTCGTCGTCACCTTTACCAGATCGCGCCGATGAAGCCCTAGCACCGAGCGGGCCGAGCAGATCGAAACCTACCTCCATGTCGTACTCCCATCCGTATCTTCTCGTCGCGCATCCCGATAACACACTATCGCTCTACCTCGTCCGATCGACATCACAAGCACTATCGATCAGCTCCGGCAACCGCCTCTGGGGTCACACGTCTTCGATATCCGGCGCCCATGTCGGCATGCGCGGCAAGGCTGTGTCCGTGAGCAGACGAGGGGACGAGCTACGGGTATGGGATCTAGAGGGCGGTATGAACTCCTCCGCGAACCGCAAGCGCTCAAGAAATGGACAATTAAGCGTTCGCGTACAGCCATCCAAAACCAGTGAAGAGTACACCCAGGACGACGACTCGGGGCAGCAAGTGGGCCTACGGTTTGCGCTTGACCAAGGCTTTGACGACTCTTCCGTCAGTCGTGGTTGGGTCGGCTTCGACGAACAGAACGTCATAGTGCTGAGAGAGAAGAGCGAGGGCAGTCAGGCGTTGGTTGTCTACGATTTTACATGACCTGGCAAAGGTTCCGAGGCGTCCGCATCTGTTAACAAACATACCCCCATAGAACGCCGCCGATTCATACGAACATCGAACTTTCAGTATCTACCGGAGCTCGACACCGACGATACTTTCTCAGTTACTAATAGATGACATCAGTACACTCCTACATTTTCAAGGGGTCATATGCTTTATCTGCCGTATCCACAAGACATATCACAACACCCCGGACTCTCATGACTAAGAGACCATCATGCGTGATCACTCACATCGTACATCATGTATAAGACGCAGACCTGCGCTCATTATCCAAACATAAGCCTACACCTCCAACGACTGCGTCCTATTTGCCAACTTGACAAAATATCAGAGATGGATACAAGCAACACAGCTTTCCCGACGCAGCAACCAACCAACAACGCCGAACTCAACGCGACTCCTGCAATTTCAAACGATGGTCTGCTGCCAGCTCCGCTCAATGGGCCTGCATACGATGATTACAACCCTCTCGTTAACACCTTCGCAAACTCTTCCTCAGAGCGAACGTTCTACCGACGTGGCCAAGACGGACAATTGCATCGAAGCGGCGACCCGTGGAACAGTAGCTATATGCTCGATGTAAGTGGTTGCGGATTTGGACGACTGCCTGACTCACTGGTGCCCACTGCGCGTGCAACCATGACTATTGCTGTGGATGTTGACGCTGAAGATTTAAAGCGGGATACTCCTTTGATAATGGAGACAGGCCGCCGACATCTGCGGAGGCTGTTTGAAGCAAGAGCTTTGGAGGTGTTGCAGAAGTATATGGATGAGGAGAGAAATGGACAAGGGGTTTGAAGGGCGCAAGGATTGAGATCAGGATGTAATAGCTGTAGGTTTCTAGCGATGTCTTGATGGGTCGTCTATGTGGGATCACATTACGGTGACATTGACGGGTTGGGTGTTGCCCGGTTGGTGGTTTCGCACACATGTGACGTCACCGCTCGCACCTCAATTGATGCTACCTACCTTCCGCATGTTTCCGCGGCTGCGAACATCAGCTCGACCCTCACAAAACCACGGTGACTGAATTGCCACGCGCGCAGCAACCTCGCAATTCGTCTCTTTCTCATGTCATCTTGCACCTCAAAATGTGGAGGATTTCTCTTGGACCGCATCTTCTCACGATCGCACCGTTCCAGTAGTTGGCATTGCAGATGTAACACGAGCATATTGATACTAGCTAAGAAACTAACGTCGGTCAAACACAAAACACAAAACTACCAGCGAGTCCCAAAGTTTTGGCCCGCCCATGATACCAAAAGCTCACATCAATATCGACCAAGCGAATGCGGGACAGGGGTGTCAGCTCCAGCCCTCGTCAGATCAGGAGATTGGACTGGAACATCTGGAAGGACCCCTATGCCTCCGCCATCCCATGATCCCGCTTGCATCATCTCGATACCAAGAGCTTTCGCGCTGGTTCCATGATGGAAATCCGCCTGCTCTTCGTCAGACATCGAAAGCGGGCCTTGATGATGACCTCGCAATAACCGATTGGCACGCTCTTCCTCCTTCCGCACCTGCTCCGCCCGCTCCCACTGGCATCGTCCCAAGAACTGGTCATGATCCTCCAGTCTCCATATCTTCCTCTGCACCTCCTCCGTAACCCTTGCCTTCAACGTCTCGTACTCGTCTTGCTCCAGCATCCACCGTATCTCCTCCGCGAGAGGATGCGACTTATCTTGCACTTCTGTTAATACGAACCAGACAATTACATCCCCGAAAACGGTGTCGCGAAGACTACCGTGATACCCATCCCAGATCAGCTCGACATGCTCGTCCGTCATGTACCAAGCTTCGTTGCCTATCCACTCGTCGATCATCACGTCTTCGAGCCGGTCGGCATCAGCGTGCAAACTAAATACACGGCATGCGCGGATGGTCTCGATACCGGCGGCCAGGCTGGGTGGTACGCGTAGCTCACCTGTGGGCCGTACGCTAGCTGCTTTGCACGCGCGACGCATGTATCGCATTACTCTTGCGACTCCAGCTTTCTCGGCTTCTTCCACGGGTATCTTCAACTGATCAGGGCGCCCGTCCCGGTCTGGTATGAAGCGATCGAGGACGGAGGTGCCGCAGAAATGCCATAGCATGCGAAGCGGAACGTTGCGAACGTATGGTTTCTTAGTGTCGGCATTCACGATGTCGACTGTGAACCCGGACTTCAATGCGATGAGTGTTCGATTGTCTGTATGCTGCATCGTGTCAAAGAGTCTTCCAGTGTGGCCTTCGAGCGGCGCCAGCCTCTTCCAGTTCTTTCTGAGCTTTCGGCGGATCACTGGAGATGGTTTCTCGGTTTCTGGAAGAGTGGTCTCGTCCATGTTCGCAGCGCTCATCTCTGTGGATACTGGCTTGATCTCGTCGTATTCTGGGCTATCATGTAGTCATGCCACATGAGCGCTGTCAGAATCATCAGATCGATCTGTTGGCAGCTGTGATGGCGTTTCAGCGTCGTCACATTCCGAAGTGTTGTCGACCGCGTCTTCTGTGCTGGGAGGAACGTTGGCGGCCACGTTCATCTCTAATGCCAGATTACAAACGGTTGCGACCTCTTGTAACATCTGTTCGAGCGCTCTATTGAGCGCCGGAACAGGATTCCATTCTTCGGTATAATCTTTCTGGGCTATTTCGGTGGGCGATAAAGCGATCGCGGAATTAGCTTCGACTGTGCGTTGATGGTGTCTCGGGTCGGGCACGTCGCCTGCAGGTGGATGATCGACCGTCTCTTTGTCTCCGTCGCAAAGTTCTTCGCCACTGCCACCGCGCAATCCGACCTCAGGTTCCTTTGCAGCACCTTGTTCTTCTTCTGGCTTAGGCGCGACATCGCGCTCGCTATAATGACTTTCTAGTAGACGAGCATCGTTACACTCGACATCCTTGGCCATACCCGGAGCAGCGCAGCTTGCACTTCCAATATCACTTTTACCAGTCATGTCTGAGGGCCCGAAGTAATCGGTCGTATCCACTTCAACGGCCGCAACAGAACAAAGTGGCAAGAAACCATGCGGTTCGTACGGCGCAGGGTTAGGAGAAAGAATAGGATTATGCTTCTTTTTTGGCACTGAGAAGTAATCCTTGACTGCTGTAGGCGTTCCATTACCCCTGTTCTCATGCATGTCCTCGGGTGTGGAGGTATGCATGGCTATGAACCCATGCGAAGTCTTCGGTGTGTAAGCTTGCCATTCCGAGGGGTCAACGGCGGTAGTCTCGCGTTGAAACAAGGGGCGAGGGATCTCTAACCGAGGATTACTGGGGAGTGCTTTTTTGAGTGCATCTGGAGTTTTTGGCGAGTCTGACATATTGGCGTCGTGAGGTGTAGTCGTAGCGGTTGAGACATTTGGTAAGAAGAGACTTCGAGACTTATTTATCGACCACTACCTGGGTATGAATTAGCGGGCAAATATAGTGTACATGTCACTGTCTGCCAGCAATTTAGTAGTTGTGTGTATGTTAACTCAGGAATAGGTGTTGTGACGCATCTGCCACGACATGTGGATAGCAGAATTGAGTGTACACACTCTCGATGTGTCTCTAGCTATGAGACATTCACCACTCATCGCTCACACGCTGTGTTCATTTCAATGCCACCGCTTTCTTCATGTGCGATCTTCACTCTTAGAACTTCGAGTTTTAACTTCCATTGAGTCTCATTCACTACTTGCAACTGCGCAGCATAGCCCTACAACGCCATAGCGCGGCTGCCTCGAGCTTTTCCTAAACGTATGAGCCGCGTTTCATTGGCATTCAGCCATCTCAACCATGGATGAAGCAGACCAGTCACCGCCAAAAGAGCAGCGAGTCATAGAACCCGAGGCACAGTCAAGAATGGGCGCGCTTTCTCCACAATCACCATTCATGGATCGCACAAAACACTTGGTTGACCTGATGACGGACAGAGAAGTTATCACGCCGTATTCTGATGCCGTCGAGGCTAAAGACAACGATCGCACACCATTGAACGACATGGAAAAGTTTGAGACTAGTGGAGCTGCAGGTGCAGATATCGATGAAGGTGTATGGCACGAACGCGCACCCTGGGCTGCACCAACGCTACCCAGCCCGAATGCCCTCGCAGGCCTTGCCGGCCCACCTGACTTTCATCTGGACTCAACACCATCTCGGGAAGCAGCGAACAGCCCTTCCTCGCGAACGCATGCGGAATCAGTCCCGGTACCTCCGAGTCGTCTCTCCTCCCTCTTCAACAAGGCTATCAACTACTTCGGCACCTGCATTGGTAACTACTTCACATCCGCGCCCGGCGTGATCGAGTATACCGGTGCGGATATCTTGCGAAATACTCAAATTGGTATTGAGGCGGAAGAAATCGTATTCCAGGATAGAGTTGCAGTGATCAAGATCTTCGCTATCGTCACCGATAGCTCTGGCGCAGGCGGAGAGAAAGTTGAGAAATACGAGCCAGTAGAGAGGCGCGTGGAACTACGAGCAAAGCCTAAGCGAGTGAAGGAGATTTTGAGAGGGGAGAGATATTACATTGCCGAGGATTTCTATAGGAAGGAAATTCGGCTCGCATTCAAAGCTTTAGGAAAGTTGTGAGTGGCTCGTTGCGTATGGGTGGGTCGCGTGGTAACCAAAGAATGAGAGACAGGAATTTCATAAGTATGGTCTTCTCTCGCCGTTCCACACTCAGATACCAAAACCCTTCCCACAACTACAAACACTTCACCAAATTTGAATCGAACACGTTCAGCACCTCCAAGAGCATACAAAGGTCGCGCACTGCATAGCGTACACTACTACAAACCCTACGTAGCAGCTAGGTGTATTCGAACACCGCACCACCCACGCCGCGCAAACTCTCTGTACTCATCAACCCCCAAGATGGCGTCAGAAACAAGCTACTCAACAACCTCCGATAGCCAGCAAACTACCACAACACAAATCCTCGAACCAGCAAACAGCTTCCGCACGCTCGTCGCATACAAAGCAATGGCCACGAGCCCCCGAATCGAAAAATGGCTATCGAATGTCTCTGATCAGACATGCCTCCCTCTAGGCGAATTCCCACACCGAAGACCAAATCAAACTTTCTTCAACAAGATACGGATAGTCCAGCAATTTGGGCCTGTTAATGGGAGATACCTCCTTGAGTTCAAGGAGGAAGAGGGGTATTATGTTGAGACAGAATCGGTTGGAATGCCGAGGATGCAGTCACATCCAGATAGGTCGGCGGTTAGTGAGGTTTGGGAGGAGAGTCGGGGTGATGGGGGTGACGCTGGATGGTAGTGCGTTGGAGGTGTGAGGGCGACGTTCTGGGGAACAACAGTATAGTAACACGTTAACCTAGTAAAAAATAAACACCCTTGAGCCTACGTTAACCTTAGATTACCTACTTTATAGGTTTTTGTCTTAATGTAGTCCGCAGACCTGTTCAGTTTGTTTTGTGTATGAGGTAGTAATAGTCGCGTAGGTTTGCGGATGCACTTAGACCATCTCCTTCTTTCTTTCTCTCGTTCGTCTTCCGTTCGTCGCAGCGCGCGGTTTGCAAGGGTGCCGTTTGACGCCGTCAGAGGACCAACGAAGATGCTTCGACGACATGTCTACTTCAATAAACGCAATCGGAAGATGCTATTGAGCCACGGCTCTTTCTTCGACTTTCTGGGTGAGTTCTCAAATTCCACGCGTATACCGCTTGCGCCATGAGCCGAAGCACCATGACTACCCACGGCTACGTCGCGAACTATTATATCGACGACCTCGACAATTTCAATCTCGAAGAGCAGTATCGCCTGCTATACGACTTGCCAGACGGCCGTTATGTTGCGCCACAAGTTAAGCGGCGCATGTTCTACAAAGGCGAAACCGCATCGCAAGCTCTGGAGCACGTGCGCCGGTTCATACCTGCGCCGTTCAGCCCCAATTCGCTGTCGCCAAGCTTGTACGATGCGCCGAGCTTGATCGACGAGGAGCGGTGGCACGAAGCTCGAGTGAAGCTGAGGCGTGAAGGTGTGTTGTACAGGACCGGAGGGAGGAAAATTGAGAAGCTCACGAGATTCTAGGAGTTATCCTGCCTTGTGACTACATGTTCGTTGATGAACGCAGGATGGTGGAGTCGTTTGGTAGCAACGAGACGATACGGCCAGCTGGTGTCGCATGGCATGGGGACGCGGCTGTGTCGATAGCGGAGGATTCGCCTCTATTGACAGCGGACCAGAGTCGGATTACTGATCAGAGCGATGGTGTTATATTGTGGCAGTTGCTCATTGACTTTGGGAGGGCTGTGCGGAAGATCTTGGCTAAGTTGTTGACGTCCCAATGCGCGTGTTAAAAGGATGTCGGTGATCCTGGAAGCTTTTCTCTTAATCCATTGGATTGGTCGGAACTCTAGTATCGTCAGGCCACCATTGTCTTGGCTAGTGCGAGGCTGTACGCTTATTGCTCTATCATATCGCGGCGTGGTCCCCCGACGCAAGCGATGCGGTGGCGTACTACCCGTGAACGCATGTAGTGCCTTGCATGGGCGGCTCACCGACATGCCAGCCTCGGCTGATACAAACCCCGGCCCCAGCTTCATATAAAAGCGCGGTTCCTTCTTCGGCGACGAACACATAGGTGTAGAGGTATTGTGGGCGCTGGATGCTGCGTGGCATCGTGGCTACTTCCCTCGCTGAGCCAGACCCCGCTTTCTCTTGGCATTCTGGGGCACCACACCACGCCAATATCCATGGCTTCCAGCATAACCCCGACCAGCAAAAGTGACATCGCGACCTCCCAGCTTGATATCGCTTTACCCGCTGTCACAAATCGCCAGTCTGGAAACGATGCTTGGCCAAAGACTGTTCGCGCCACAACGAGAGCGGCGCGTCGCCGTGGAAAGCTCGATGGACCTTTTCAACTTCGCTTCCTTACCGCGACAGACCCTACTCAATTCAAGGACGGGGAGACAAGACGAAGCGTCCGTTCGCAGGCGATGAGGTATCATAGGAACAAGATGAACAACAGCCACGCAGCACCTCGGGAACAGCACAAAATAGTACCACCTCTTTACACTGAACCAATAGTCGGCGAGCAGGTCGAGCTCACGACGACTCAAGCTCAATTACTTTCCCCAGAAAGAACACTGAGAGCGCTTGTTCCTTATGAATATGATCAGCAAACTCATGTACCGACTACGAGGTCCCCAAAGGAAGCGAGCGGTGCTGAGGCTTGTGATGCTGCGTTTGAACGCTGTCGGCAAACTCGCTCAGGCCGAAGGCAGAGTATAAGCTTCCAAAAGGTTGTTGGATACGAGTACACTGAGAGCCAAGAAGAACGCAAGATTCGGTTATTCACGACCACTTTCTCTCAGATCGGAGACGGGTTTGACCCTTTCAAGGTGTTGCCCCAATTCGAGAACCCTAGTTTGAACAGCGGTTTCATCTTGCGTGCATGTAGGTGTACAAAATCTTCCAGACTTTTCACGTCATATGCTCTGGTTCAATGGCTGACACTTACAGTCATGCGGGCGTTCGGGACAGAAGCATTTGTCAAGGCATGGGCACCCGAAATGAATGTTCATCCCCATGTAATGCTCAGTGGTATCGGGTCCGTGACATGTACTTGGCTCGATATGCTCGCAAAGATTCCAGGCGAAAGTACAAGGACTAGGCTTGTCAGGGATGAAACCCTGGTCATGATCAGGCTTCGGCTTCAGTCGTTCACCCGGGAGGACACCGTGTCAACCCTCCTGGTGATGCTTCACTTGCTGGGAGGCGACATGTGGAGCTGTGATGAGCCCACGATCCGGTGTCACGAACGAGGCATCGAACAAATGATACTCCTGTGCGGCGACCTGGAAAAGACCGGTAGGGCGATGATCGCGCAATTTACTACTGCGTAAGCTTCATGACCTCCTGATAAAGAGTGCAGACTAATAATGCTTTCAGGTGTTGTTTCCACTGCGACCTAATTTACGAAGCCCAACCCCTGCCGACCTTTGCGTTGTGTGAGCCTGCAAAGTATGAATCGGTCAACGATAACGCAGATGTCGCAATACCAGAATCCCCATTATTCTGCCCAGGGCCTGAGTTCCGAAATCTTCTCAACGAAGAGCGTTGCTCATCTACCACATATGGCCTACTTCGAGATATGCGCGACTTGACCGACCTATTCCTGGCGCAAAACACAGCACTTGAGCCCGCTGGCGATGCTAAAGACGTTCATCTAGCCTATCCGCCTTCCAAAGAAGTCGAATATAAGACAAGAGTGGCTGGAATTTGCGATCGATTAGCAAATCTACCCCCGGCTTACACTCCAGATCACCCAAACTCCTGCGATTGGGTCTATGAGGCGTGTCGTCTCGCTGCCACGATCTACACGACTTCTATCGTACGCCGCTTGCCTTTCTCTGTTGCTGCGACATCAAGTCGCTACCCGTTTTGTGTCCAAACTGGAGCTGAGCCACATAGCAGCCAGATCTCACTTACAACCCACATCTGCGAAGAGTTGATGCAGACTCTAGAACGTACCGACCTCGCAAACGTGTGGAATGGTATGGTTGGAGTGCTATATTGGATATGTACCGTTGGCGCTGCTGCAGCTCGTTCGCCCCGCTTGTCCGGCCTGTCACAGCGACTCCCGTATAGCACGACATGCAAGTTCCGGGTTCGACAGTGTCTGACCATGTTTTCCGTCCGCGCACATGTCATCTTGATCTTCAACCATCCCATACCCATCCTGCTATCTCAGAAGAAACTCCTCAGGGTACAAGAGCTTATTGGAACATATCGCCAAGGTCGCAACACTAAGCAGTCACCTGGAACCTCTCTGGATTCCACAGGCCTCTAATGCGACGACATCTGCACCTAAAGAGGGTGGAATTCAAGCCGAGCGGTGCATCCATCTCTTGTGATAAACATTCATAGCAAAGCGATCTAAGCTAGAGTCAGAAGCGGGCTGCTGACGAAGATGGTTGCGCTCCCGTAAACACCGAAAGCCGTATGAATCAGAGGAACGCACTTATCCACGCGGCCAACTCCGGTTAGTTCTTTCACCGTTCAGTCAGTCACTGCATATCCGGCTTTGGAAGGAACGTCCAGGAAGTTCTTGTTGCGTGATGTGCGGTTGGCCGAATACTCTGACTTTCCTACTCCGCGCGCATCACGAGAGGCCGAGCTGAAGTTCCCGGGCGTCTCGGGTCGCGACCATCCGCAAGATCCGGTCGCGATGTGTTCTGCAGTTCCAGAACAGACGATCGCAGTTGCGGACAAAAAATCTGTTCCTTGCACTGAATTTTATTGGTGGTGTTCGGAGATCTTCGCTGCGTACCGATGTGGGCCGGCGGAGCATTTTGCACCCTGGATCTGAGGGGTTGCAACTCACCTGCTAAGCTTCGCGGCTCCCATCTTATCCCGACCTCTTATGACGTCGCAACTATGCCTGTCTCCTATTCCATCAGGCACGGTTGTTTACATCGCATTGAAACCTAGGAAACGGTAATTCGCTTTGGCGATTTCGGCGCTTCTCCAACCCAAACCTCGTGGGGATGCCATCATAGAGGGCCCGTGCGTCGAGCCTCTTTTCGTCCCTTCCTTGTCCGACGCTCCGCTGGCCACGATGATCCTGTAGGGCAGAAACAGTTGCAACCGTGGAGCCAAACTCTGATTTGACGTGTGGGGTCGCGTGGATATCAGGATCTGCGTCGTTGGAAATCATGTTCTGATCTCACAGGTCTGGCTGCCGGACTGTTTGAGACAGCAGCCAAAGGCGCACGTTGTTTTGGATATGCAAACATCCAGACGTGGCTATTGCAGGCATTCCTGAAGCTTACAGTACCCGCGATACACGTGCTCGCTATTTGACTTGACGGTCAGCGTGCTGTCTCTGCAGGAAGAGGACCGCTTCGATGACTATCTGACAAATGAAGCGAACCACGGGACAGGACGATGCGCTGACGAATGATGGATGACTCCTGGCCGCCTGGCACCATCTTCACGAAGGAAGCGGCTGCCAGCATGTCCGAGACAGCGACCCAGGGATTAGTTGCCGCTTCCCTGCATTCCGATTGGGCGACAAGGTTACCTCCTGTCAGACCTGCCAGGGTCTAACGGCCTACTAACAACAAGCGACATTTTGTATAAGAGACAACACCCGCCAAATCTAGAATGCACACGAAAGAAATAGTCGCAGCGAGCGTCGTACTTGGACTCTGCTTTGTCGCTGCCATGGCACTCGTTACACGCTTCCTCCTGCACAAGCAGCCCAAGACTACAACAACAGACGAAATGTTCACTACGGACGGCAAGACTGAACGACAGGTTCAGCTCACGCAAATCTCCAGCTCGTGGAAGAGATTCTTGACCCCAAAGCAAAGCCATAGCAAAGGACATTGGGTGCCAACATTGTCGGGCATCATCAAGGCTGGCGATGAGGGTTTGTTTTCCTCCGCATTGTTTACCAACCTCCAAGGACATCCCGGACGGATACCACTCGAAACCTTGTACGATGCGTTCGCGAACGAAGTTCGAAACAGACCAATCTCAGAGCGATCGTCATACCCCGGAGACATGACGAAGTTCCTTGCTCGAGCAAAGAAACCTGCGGGCGGCGTGGGGCGGTCAAAGTCGATGTCCAATGTTCGGCGAGCGGACCCTAGCCCAAAGACTGCGAGAAAGAGCTTAGATTTATCGGTGGTTGAGATGGGTTTGGCTAGGGGCTTATCCGTTAAGAAGCCGGCGTCTGCCTTGGTATCGATGCACAATGGACTGCGAGACGATGATCAGAAGGCTATACAGCGGGCTTGGGTGAAAGATGGTCAGACTGCAAAGTACGAAGATGGAAAATTGAGCATCAAGGTCTCAGCTGCCGAACTTGCGGCACTCTCAGTAATACTGGGAAGCCAGTTGATCAACAGCGCTGACCAACAAGACGCGTCATCGGAGACTGGTGCCTTCGGCATCTCGATGGCTCTTTCGCCAACGACAGACGCCAAACACCAGGTCACGCTCACACAACAAAAGCGCAGCA